GCAGGCCTCTTACAAGTCCCCAGGATGACTGTGGTTTACTAGTAAGAAGAGCCAACTTGTAAAGAGTGCCCCCTAGGTCCAGTTCTAAGTACTAGATGTGCACCAACTCCTTTACCTTCACAACAGCCCTGTGAGATAGAAATTGCTATAATTCTCCAAATCAAGGATGAGAAAACAGCTCCGAAAGCTTAACTAATTTTCCAAAGGTTGGGCAACTTGTTTGAGACAAGATTCAAACTGCACTTGACAGTCTGAACGTAAGTGAACCGTATTCTTCACTGAGGTGCCACTTCCATCCATGGTAATGGCTACCTAGAAAGCTGAGTTGAGTTGTGAGGGGCCAGCCCTGTGGCCTAGTGGTTAAGGGAGCCAGATGCCACATGGTTGACTGTGTGGTTCAAATCCTGGCCCTGAGGCCTGAAACACATGCCAGCACGTGTGCATGCATTCCCCAAATCCCAACAGAATGGAGAAATGGAGGAGAAAAGGTCATGGCATGACCACGTCCCATTGGGAGGTACTTTCTCCTCTCCTTTGCTCTGTCTCTCAGGTGAGTGCACACGCCCTCTGGCAAATTAACCAAAAAGAGGGACCCAGCAGATGGCATAATGACTATGTCGCTGGATTCCCATGTAGTTGACCGTGGTTTGAGTCCTGGACCTGGTGACTTAAACTCACACTGGGCGCATGTGCATGCGTGCCCAAGATCCTGAGAGAACAGAGGAGAAGGGATTGCCGCGTGGCCATCCCCCCGGGCGGTGATTTCTCGCTTTCTGTCTCTCTCTGTCTCTCTCTTTCTGGCGAGCGCATGCACCCTATAGCAAAAACCTCTTAAAAAAAAAAATTAACCAAAAAGATTTGTAAGGCCGCACCCACCAAGGAATAGAATGGACACAGAGACATGACTCAGCAGTCTCAAAGAGGTTGCCGACGTCCAGGCAGAGACTTCAGAGCACAGATAAGAGCGTAGTTGACTTTGACTAGATAATATGAGAAGGTTTCCTGGAAGTGTGGGTGAGAGAAGGCACGAGTTGGGGAAACAGCATGAACTAAGCCCGGAAGGCATGAAGATGTATTGTGTGTGTGTGTGTGTATGTGTGTGTGAGGCATGTGTGTGTATGTATACCCTGTTTAATGCCGAGCTCACCTCACTCCAGTCTCCTCAAAGAACGGAAGCCTTGCACTGGTGCCATGGCCTGTTGGTTAAGGCAGCCAGATCACACGTGATAAACCGAGCATCCAAGTCCTGAACCACTAGACTGAGACACACACCAGGTGTGCATGTGTGCCAAAGATCCTGAAAGGAAGGAAAAACGGAGGGAGGAATTACCGTATGACCATGCCCCATGGAAGTTGCTTTCTCCTCTCCCTCTTTCTGTATCTCTCTGGCAAGTACACATGCCCTTTAAGCAAAAAAAAAAGAGCAGAAGTCACCTGACTTTTCAAAAATTCCAAGGGGAACCTCTTCAGAAAGACGCCCTATACTTGGCAAAGGGTGTGACCTCCTCTTTCCTCAGTTACCATGAGTTCCTGCAAGGAGATTATAAATACCTTCTTCCTTTGTTACTCCTCAGCCTTTTAAGACTGGTGTCTGGGTGAAAGAAAGCTCACAGCCTCTGCGGGATGCCACTTTCCTACGAGTTTCTCTAGAGGTGGAATAAGACACTGGTGACATGTCTGACTCCACTGACACTGCAGGGACAAGACAATGTGGAATGCTGAGAGACATCAGTCACCATGAAGCTGTGTGAAGACCAACACAGGAACATTGGATAGGATGCATACCCACATAGCAGAGGGCCTCCTGAGACTCCAGTCAGTGACCAGCACATGCTCAGTCTGATAGGAAAAGGCCAGGCTTAACTGCCTCCTCACAGGACAGAGCGTGCTCTGTGGACCATAAGTACCAATCGTGCTGTTCTGATCAGTGGAATCGTTGGTAACGCCCAAACGTCAGAATGTCTTACATCTTTTGTAGCAAGAATTCACATGTGATGATTAAACAGAACTTTATTTCAAGATCAGATCATACCTTGTATTTATCTACTCATTCATATACCAACTGGCCTGATACCACCTCCAGAGAGCCTTCCTTGACTGTCAAGATACCCTTTCTCTGGCTCCCACATCCTTCTTTGTATTGAAACCATGTGTCTGTATGTCTGTCTGATCCACGTTCTCTATATATTCCTCAGTAGGATGGTCACTTTTATACCTGGACTCGCAGCACCCGGATTAGGCCTGGATGTAATAAGTGAGTAAAGAATGTTTACTGAGGGACCAGCAGGTGGTGTGGTGGTCAAGGCGCTGGACACTCCCACATAGCCAACCAGGGTTCAAGTCCTGAATCTGGCGGCTTGCTTTCTCACTTCCTCTCTCTTTCACTCTCACCCTCTGTGTCTCTCTGGTCAAATTAAAAAATAAATGAATGAATAAATAAAAATAAAATAAATAATTATTTAAAAATTTTTAAAAAAAAGAATGTTTACTGAGGTGGCATGGGGGTTAAAGCACTGAATTCCCACATGGCCTGACTGCTGTTGGAATCCCAGACCTGGAGGTTTGCTTTCTCACTCCCCCCCCACTCTGGTGAGCGCATATGCCCTACAGCAAATCAAAAAAACAAAAATAAGAATAAATAAAATAAGTATTTGCTGAATTAAACTGAATAAGTAAAAAAGATACCATGTTGGGTTGAGCATGTATCCACGTATTCTGTTTATTCCTTGCCACTGACTCTGAAGAGGGAGAACGGGCTGTGCCAGGACCTAGCCCCAGGGCTTAGATGCTTTCACTTTTCCTCGGTGGAGCCCAGTTCACCTGGATGAAGAACATGCACACATGACAGATTCAGGGCAAAGCCCTGCTCGGTAATAAAAGCAAAGTCTGGCTTCAGCATCTGATAGGCGACTGAAATGGGTGGGATCAACCTGGAATCCTAGCTGCAGAGAGGAGCCAGATGTTAGCAGACTGAGACCTCCTTGTGGACAAAGAATCCAGTATCTGAGGCACGAGGCAGGAAAGGAAGGCTGATGTCAGAACCCATGGAAGGGTCTTCATTTCTACACGGGAGGAGAGTCCATTCTCTTCTGCAGACCACAAGAAACTATTTCAGATTTTATATGCAAGGGAGGAGCATGATTGGCTCAAGGATTTACGAACTGTTTACTTTGTACCGGGACTCGCAAGGGCATACAGCTGAGTTAAACAGAGTCGCTGCCCTTTAGACAAGTACACAAATGACTCTAAGACGAAATAAAAAGTAATTGCAACCCACGATGGAGAAAGGGTTATAGAGGTCCAAAGGAGATTCTGTCTGCTTGATGGAGGAGATCCGGAAATTGTTTATGGACAGGGAGGTATTCTAAAGGAGCCTCGAAGAACAGGTACTTTATGAACATAGAATTCCCTGAAGAGGCAGCCTGAATAACTAATAAACTTGTAAAAGTTGTTCAACTTCTTGCAAAGCAGGGAGATGCATATTAACCACAACAGGAACCAGCAGGTGGTACGGTGGTTATAGTGCTGGACTCTCACATGACTGACTGTGGTTCGAGTCCTTCAAGTCCTGGACCTGGTGGTTTGCTTTTTCACTTTCTCGCTCTCTCTCTCATGAGCACATGTTACCCTGTAGCAAATTAAAAAACATAATAATAAGAAATAAAATTAAATAAATAATTCATCTAGCCATGTGGCACGATGGTTACAGTGGCTAGATCTCACATGGTCAGCTATGGCAGTTTTAGCCCCAGACCTGGCAGCTTGAAGAACATGTTGGGCCTGTGTTTGTATGTGCCCAAAATCTCAGGAGGAGAATGGAGAAGGGATTGTAGTGTGGTCATTTTCCCAGAAGGGTGCTTTCTCACTTTTCCTCTCTCTCCCTGTCTCTCTTTGGCAAGCACACGTGCCCTGTGGCAAACTTAAACACACACAAACACACGCACACACACACGCACAACACGAGATAGCATACCCATCAGATTGGAAACAATTTTTTTTAAAGGTTTTTGCTGTAAGGTTCATGTGCTCATCAGAGAGTGAGAAGAAAAATCAGCTCCCAGGGGGATGGCCACATTGCAAACCCTCCTCCTCCATTCTTTTCTTGAGATTTTGGGCTCACAATCACATGTTCATGGCGTGAGTTTCAAGCTGCTGGATCCCCTGGACTAAAACCGTGGTTATGTGGGAATCTAGCATGATAGCCACATGCCACCTGCTGGTCCCTGGGAGAAAAAAAATTTTAAATTCTTTTTATTTTCCCTCCAGTAATTATTTATTTATTTAATTCCTTTTGTTATTATTATTATTTAATTTGACTAGACATAAAGAGAGAGAGAAAGGGAAAGCGAGAAAGCAGGCTGCTAGGTCTAGGAATTAAACCATGGACAACTGTGTGAGAATCCAGCACCTTTAACCACCACACCACCTGCCAGCCCCAGAAAAATAAATTTTAATATGACAAAACCAAGAATTGACAAGGAAGAATAGTTATGGAAATATGTATACATTGCTGGTGAGAATCAAAATTGGTACAATCACATTAAAAGACAATTTGGAAATGTGTATTAAAATGCACTTATTCTATGACCCCAGAATCCCACTCCTAGGTGTACATCTCTGGCCCCTACACATGTACATAATGGGATGTATCAAATGTTCATCATAGAAATGTTTGTGACAGCAAAATACAGGAATGACTTAAATGGTTATCAGC